ACACACACACACACACACACACACACACACACACAGACTTTGTCTCTCTGTCCTCATGGGGACTTCTATTTATTTACTGGTAATTTCTGTAGCCTAACCCTGACCATTTCCCTTAAAACTAACCACTCCAGTACACACTGACCTTAAATCTAGCAAAACTTAATTCACACCTTGGTCCTAAAGTTAACCCATCACCCAAAATCAGCCTCCAAACTCAGTCCCCACATGTATGCAATTTTCTAGGAAATCGTCCCCACCAAGAGAGAGAGAGAGAGAGAGACTGATACAATAAGCTACCTCCCTCCTAAAAGTTGGTGAACACACTGGGCCTAAAAGGTCCAACATACGGGCTACCAAGTGTAGCCTAAATTAAAAATGTTTAAAAATGTCACAAACACATTTTCATTATTCAAATCACTTTTTGAGGGTTAAAATTTTCCACTAACGTTTCATTGTTATTTAGCTCACTGTGCATTTTATAATTTTTCACTAAATGTTAAAAAATATATGTAAATATTAAATTCTAAAGCTAAATTAACATTTTTAAATCCATCATCTTTTCTTTTTTTCAGGGTCACTGGTTCCCATGTCCATCACTGAGTGAGGGGTGGGGGGACAGACAGGTTGCAAGTCCAGCAGGGCCAAACACCCACTGTAGGGACAGAGTTACCAGTTACCCATGTCTTTGGTCTGTGGGAGGGAACTGGAGTACCTGGAGAAAATCCACGAATGCACGGAGAGAACACACAAACTCTACCAAGAAAAGTCCCCAGCTGGGATTCARTCTGGCAACCCTCTTGTCCCACATCCTCAAAGTTGCAGTGAAATGTTGAAATTCAGACAGGTGTTTCTCAGAATGGAGCSTTTGCAGYTGGTGCTGGGCTCATGTTAGGACGTCATCATCCTGGGACAACAGCAACCACTTTTCAACATAAGTGGAATTTTTTAACGCTCAGAAAGTGAGCTGAATAATGAAAATGTGTTAGAGAGATTTTTTTTAAACATTTTTTTTTAGACTTGGTGCCCCAGGTTAACATTCCTTTAAAGAAATAAACTACAAGGTTGTCGAATGATGGAGCTGTTTTTGTTTGGGACATTTTGAAAGGAATATTTTTGCACAACGCCACACTTAAACCCTGTGTTGTGAATGTTTGTCAGCTACCACCACACCAAACTTTAGCTACATTTCTGCTGAATGTTGTTTGGCTGTGTTAACTTGTAGATGAACAGCCAGTAATTAAACTGGAAACTTTCAGTCTAATCATGAGATATTTTGCTAACAGACAGACAAAGCAACAAAGCTCATTTTGTTAGCACTCAGAATGTGTYGGGGCTTAGTCTCAACCAGGTTGAATTTAGAGCCATTTTTGTAGTCTTTTGAACCCTCCTGCTACTCCTGGGGCACCCGCTTCAGATGTTATCATCCATGAAATGGACGTTATTAGGCATTATCAGTCCCATACAATGATTTCAGAATGTCCCGCCTGTGCCGGTTAGCAGGTTCCCYGTCCCATAGAATGGCTTCTGATAGTCAGCTGGTTAATATGAGGCATAAAAATGGTTAATATGAGGCTTAAAGCCACTAAGGTTAACTTTAGAGAAAATGACATGGTTAGCGCTAAAGACACCACCATCCAATGGTTGTAGATTGTGGTCTTCCAATAGGGCAATGGGTAGAGTGCTGGACCAGAGAGCAGGAGACCAGGGTTTGAGACTGACATGGACACAAAATATTTATTACAATATCTTTTGGTTATTTACACATTCATTGTCATTGACCCACTAGGGGGCACTGTCAGGACAGTCTGAAGCCTAGAAGGCACAGTAGGGACCCTCTGAAGCCATTGTATGAGACTGATAACGTCTAATGATGTCCATTTAATGGACTGATAACATCAGAATCCCCTGCCTGGGTCTACTTGACCTAAGGGCAGGAGGAGAGTTAAGTTCAGATGACATCTTTAATTAAAGTGAAGTTGGTCATTCTGAACCATTAAAATAAATAAAGACCTGCAGGAACGCTGTTTGTCAGCTTGTGATTTTTGACATCTGTCATGTGCACTCTTTGATCAGGCACAGAAATGTTTGAACTGATTTTTATTCATGCAAAAAAAAAACCACCTTCAATATCAAAATGTGTATTTCTGTCTGTTCTTCAGTTTCTCTGTGTTTTGGATAAACATCGTACCAGTTTTACCATCACATCCCAGTAATTGTAGTTGAATTATGAGGCGCCCCTCCTGGGTGTAGAAGTGAAACCCCTGCTTCAGTGGGTGCAACAGGACTGAGCGCACTCGTCGTTGGCTCCTGACCGTCACACCTGCTGTCAGCTGTGAAGGATGGGCAGAGGAAGCAAGCCACAGACCCCTGTCCTGTTTCCCCGTCACTCCACCCATCGATCCAGCCCTTCCTCCCCCACCATGAACCGACCACACGGTACGGCCTTTCAGCCGAGGCACTCCCTGCACCGCAAACACTGAGGCCCGCCGAGCACAATAGCTGGGTAAACAGCTCCGCAGCTTCTTTCTCTGGGCTCAGTGTCTGTGCCGAGGCGGAGACGAAGGCAGGGAGGATCCCTGCTCTCTGCCACAGCACTATTAATAGTAGCAAGCAACAATGCACACAGCTGAGGTGCCTGACATGAAGGAATGTACCCTCACAAGGATGAACACAACACCAAACTCTACAGGATGGAAGCATCAGCAATATTTGTGACTTACTGACACATGAAAACAAGTTTGTGTTAAAACTGAACTTTTCATCATTTCTACAACCAGAATGTTGTCAAAGTGAAGCAATGGTGGACAAAACACAAAAAACTATGTTCTCGATAAACTCCAACCATGACCAGATGGCAGAGTTCCAACAGAGGGCACCACAAGTGGAAGGAGTGTGTGTGTTAGAAAGAGTGTGTGTGTTAGAAAGAGTGTGTGTGTTAGAAAGAGTGTGTGTTAGAAAGAGTGTGTGTGTTAGAAAGAGTGTGTGTGTTAGAAAGAGTGCGTGTACTGGTGAGAAGTGTGTGTACTGGTGAGAAGTGTGTGTACTGGTGAGAAGTGTGTCTGCGTCATCCATCACTGGGAGCGATGCTGATGAACTTGTTTGGCATTGTAAAGGGATTTACAGTGTGTCACTGTTTGTACACCCACTGTTAAACCCCATGCAAGTAAAACACACACACGTGCACACACAAACACAATTCAGACAGGCCGCCTGTCTGGCAAACAGCAACATGACAGCTGTGCAGGAATTTTTCATTTAATCAATGAACATAACATCAAATTCATGAGCAGATTATTAAAAAAATAAATGTGATTTTTTTTTTGGTGCGGGGGGGTAAGTTGTGTGTGTATATGTGTACTTGTTTTGACAACAGAGTGAGGATCATTTGTGACACAGTTACCATCAAAGTGAGGCCTTTGATGTAAAGTGAGGACCTCTTCAATGTCCTGGTTCAGGTTAGTGTTAACTATAGACCAGTAATGGTTAATTTTACTAGTTAGGTTTAGAGGTAT